TTAGTGAACGCGTGTTAATCCGCGTTGAACAAAAGTGGAGAGATTAAGAGGTTTTTCTTTATCAGATATGGAGAGACGAAAGGAGACATATTTAAAAAAATAAAGTATCAAAAATTTAATAAACAAGATATGAGATATACAAATTCTAATCCTCAATTTATAATTATGGAATGTCGCAGAGAGAGAGATTACAATTTCAATTAAACCATACTACCTCAAAATGTGTTTATCTTCTGTATTTTAGGTTCTGGCGAACGTTCTTATCTTTTGTTAGTTCTTCGGCGGCACTTCAATAAGCATTTTCTTTCTTGTATTTAGTAACTTAATAACAACCTTTATATGAACTATGAAAGTCAAATATGTGCGTTGGCCTTAAGGAGCTGGTATGGAATACGTCTTTCCTCCTTAGGATCTTCTGGCGTACTCCCGGAATGATACTCAAGAATCCCCTTTTTTGATGATTTTCTCCAATGAGAGAATTGTATTATTCCCATGCATTTGGGAAGAGTGGGGGTTTACAAAGGGGTAACTGGACTGTATGTGACTCAAAATTTGTAAACATAAGGGAAAACAAAAGGGATGTCGAACTTCCGTTGAGAAGGAAGTGAATTTTACCAGTTTCCTTCGTTTTAACTTAAAAATTTTCCATTTAAAATCAGAAATATTACTTCTAAAAATTTATGTATTTGACATCGATTTTCAATTAATTAGGGGGGTGTTCAGAATCTCACAGAAGTGTCCTATAGCGTTATTTAAAGTATTCGGTTTAACTATTCTATCGATATACACATTAAAAATATTAATAATTTTAGATTCAAAATCCATATAAATATATAATACGAACGTTAACACAGACCATTTAAGCTTGCAATTTTACTTTTTCAATGCAAAGTTTTGTTCCGTTTTTGCCATTGCAAGTACTGTATGTTACATTTGTAAAATAGGAAAAAGGTGTATATAAAAAATCTATAAAAAAAAATGTCCTAAGTATCAAAGGAAGTAAAATATCAAATACGTACTGTACAGTAATTCTGAATTTAAAATGCAAAATAAATCAAAAGTGCGACTTAATAAACAACGTTTAGATTAAAATAAATGATATAACATGATTTTCTATTTTCAAAATTTCGTAAAATGATTTATTAAGCGTTAACTAAATTATAAGAATTAAGCAACTATTTTAGAACACAGTATTGCGCAGGAAGATAGAAGAATAAAAATATTTATGAAGTGTATTAAATGTTTTTAACACAGTAGAGGTTATTTTTATTAAAAAGTGAAATATATATTATTTTTTTTTTAGTTTTTGACTGTAGCAAATACGAAGAATATTGTCATCGGTGATAATGACAGAATTAATGTTCGACAATGATAAAATTAATACATTAATGATACGCTGTTAACTTAAGGATAAGTGTGTTTCCGTAAGTTTTGCATAGATAGATAGGAATAAACTAAATTAATAATATAATTTAGAGGTTTTACAAATACTGTTTAAAACAATAATCTTTTTAAAAATAAAATACAGCTGTTCCTTGATAATCCGACAGATATGGGACCAAAGGGGTGTCCGATTACCAAAAGTGTCCGGATTACCGAAAGTGATTACATATTTGGCATTGTTTTGCCTACAATATTCCCTACTCCAACTGTTCGAACAGAACTGCTCACGGAAAACACACGAAATGTGTGTCATCGTGTAAGAATTGGGTGGGGAGATTCACGTCGCGACATGCTTCTGTGCAAGCAGACACGTGACGGGACGGGTACCTTGACGGGAGGTGAATCGGACTACTGAGCATGTCGGATTATAAAACGTCGGACTATCAAGGGACAGTTGTATTCTTAAAATGATAAATAATATCTATATGTAGTAATAACAGAACACTTATTGTAAATAAATAAAAGGATTGCAGTATAAGTTCCATCCTATTTATTTACAATAATAAAGTACAATAAGTTGTGAAGCAGGCAAATAATTACCATTTCGTTTGTTTAATAATTAGAATTAAAATTAATAATGTATAAAATTTGAATAGAGAGATATTTTTGCGTCTTGTTTTACTATTATTGTAATGCTGTTGGTGATAATGATTTATAATGAAATAAAACAGAGAAACTAACTAACTTTAATAACTAATTTTTGCTAAAGTATACAGTGTGCAGTGTATGGTTTCTGAGTTGTGCGTGGATTGTTTGTGGTATATAATCTGATAGACGACAAGAATACCTAGGTTTAATTTCTGTATATATAAAATATACAAAATATTAACGCTCTACCTACTGATGACATGCACAATTTGGGTCGTCAATCGAAAAGTTTGGGCACCAATGGTTTATAGTTTATAATATTGCTTTTATTTATTGCGGCAGCTAAAAGCTGACAACAAACTACTTGCATAGTGCGCCCTAAATAGTAGAACTCTGAATCCACTCTGTATAAAGCGTTTAATGTTGGATATTGGAAGTATAGTACAGTAATAATGCAAACTTATCGCTGTCCTTACCGGCAATAAGCGGCCCTTCCTTTTCATTTGCGAGGCTTTCCTTCCTGAATTTTATGCAGTACCTGGAGCTCCAGGTCTGTACCAGATTTCTCCAAATCATTCCACAAAATGCTTTTCTTGTTTATGACAATTCAGCGGCATCTTATTACATCAGAGTGTTTTCTTAAGAGAACTTGGAAATTTTGGATAAAGGATTCCGCTATCCGTGATTAAAATACTCTACCCACTTCTTCCACCTGTTAAAGTTTCACACAGTACCCTCTATAGGAAAGTTTCCCAATTGATGTTCTCACCATATGAAATCATAAATAAAATTAGATTTGAGAAAGCAACTTTATTAAATATATTAAATGTGGTAAATCGATGAATTTTTTTATTGCCTGTTTTTAAAATTAGCCTCGTCTTGGCAAGAAATATGAATAAATTAATGTAATGTAGATCTGTTTTACAGAAATGCTTGATTTAATATGGGGAGTGGCAGTTCATGCGTGATATAAGCATGGGGAGATCTAAAAATTGGTGACAAAATGTTGCAGGTAGGAGAATAGATAGTCAAAAACACTTAAAATTGATGACTCCTTATCGAGTTTCTCTGACATCACTATTTGCAGATATCGGTAACTAAGAATTAAGTTCGTAAGTATAAAAGTACAAAATTAAACTGGTAAATTTTACGTCATTAACAAACACTGTTCTATTAAATCGATGGTATTCCACTATTGGCTAATAAGAAGACTTACGAGATAACACCGTCCAATTACAACAGAGATTTCCGAGTTCTGTTTACGGTAAATTTGACATGTTATAGAAGAAAATTACACGACAAAAATTTACGAATCTGAAAACAGAAATATTAGTGAATTACAGAAATAAAATATTAGAATTGCGAATAAATTTTCTAACCCAAAAGCACTTCGATCTATTTTGTAACAATCAAAAGCATTATTTTTTAATACGTATATATATACACGAATAATTTTTACATAAAAGTAGTTGTAATAATAAAAATTGTTTTTATTAGTTCCACTTTCTCTCTCTCTCTCTCTTTAATATATTTTTTAAATATAATTAGAGAAATAATTATTTTAATTAAGTTATATTTGATTTAATTACACTTTTTCTAGCTACTTAGCAGCAATTGACCATGAACTCTGCTTACTGATTAATATGGTATTTGTTGTTATTAATTAATTAAATATTTTACATTACTACTAGCTTAATTTTATGACGTTCTCTAAACATTTTTGCTTAGGAAACTTCGTCTCAATAAAATATCTTCCAGAATAAGGAAAAAATTTTATCTAGGAAAAAAATCTAAATTTTAACACGCGCGGAGGACAAAACGAAAAATTTTATTGTCTACACATTCCGCCATATTGTCAGCAATTTCTGCCGCCATCTTTTAGTACCCGAAAGACTTACAAATATCTTTCCTTCCCGCATAACGCCACGTGATTGATAAACATTTTCATTTGAAACTTTACCGATCGGTAAATGTTTTATGCATGTCGGTCCAAAGTGATAAGCCGTTCCTCTATTCAAATTTAAAACATTTGAATTTCGCGCGCTCTTGTATGATTGGATGGCGGAGTGTTATTTCTTACGTGAAATGTACATGAGTAAACATGCTTTACCGTGTAGATAGCAGAAACGGACTATAGATCATTTGCGGTTTCAATCATGCAAACAATCTATACAGTTCATAAAACACTTATTCATTCCTGAAAATAGTCAAATCTGCAAAATTTATAATAAAAATCATAAACACATATTTTATATATATTTTTTAAATGTATACAAAATATGCATTATGGAAATCTTAATTTGAAACATTTGGACCCAAATTGTGTTTATATTGAACTTCCAACAGCATAGGCAATATTTAAGGAAATAACATGCACTTGCATACAAATCCGGGAGTTATTTATCAGATATATTTTGTAACAGCAATTTCTTTCATGCCTGTAAATTTTTGTAAGACATTTTTCTTTAATTTTTTACCTTAATTTACCTTATTTATATTAATTGGCTAAAAATTCTCTGGGTTTTATTTATATAAAATAAACAAAAAAAATTGTTACTGACTGGCGTTACACATTTGCAAAACTCCACTTCTAATTTTATTCATTTCTATCGAATAATTGGTCATAATTGCGAGGATCTTCGTTCACGCACGTCTTCAAGAATATAACGTACTGTACGCATTGACCATGATTGTTTATTCTAAGTTATTATATAAAAATCTCTTTTTATTTCATGATTTACGTAAATATTTACTGTTTATAGAATTCGCCGAGTTCTTAAATTTTAATATATTTTTCATTTCAATTAAATGATTAAAACCTATTTCGCAAGAATATTTTTTATGAGAATAATACCTTATGTTTAACATTATCTTTTATATTATTTATCTTAACAGCTTAAACAGAATTCATTTTCTCACGATTATACGATTTATTACGATAATAACATTTGCTATATAAGCCAAACGTTCCATAATTCTTTGGATACATAATGGCGATTCAACTGCTCCTTCTTACTCTTTTGCCTTATCTGTCGTTAGCGTTTGTATGTAAGCAAGACGGTTATTTTAGAGATCCTAACGATTGTTCCAAGTATTATTGGTGCATTAGCGGAGTTGCTAATGAGTATAAATGTGGTGGAGAATTAGTCTTTAACGAAAAGACAAAGCAATGTGATTGGCCTGCTAACGTTGACTGTGAAAGTACTGGCGGAGATGGAAATGGTGGTGATACAGGCAATCCGGATCCTCCACCAGTCGGTATGTTTTCTTTGTTTTAAATTACTGAAATTTACAAGTTTATTGCAAGTTATAAGAATAATTTATATATCATTACAATTTAGTAAGCACTGGAGATAAGAAAGTAGTATGTTACTTCATTAACTGGGCTTGGTATAGAAAAGACAAGGGCAAATATCTTCCGGAAGATGTAGATCCGACATTATGCACCCATCTTAATTATGCTTTCGCAGTATTGGATGCAAACACTCATACCTTAAAACCGCATGATACTTGGGCAGATATTGATAACAGTTTCTATAAGGTAAAGAACAAGCTCCTGGATTTTGGTTAATTAAAATTTTCAAAAATAATTTTAATTATATAGAACTTGAATATTTTTATTATTATTTTTAGAAAATCGTAGATTTGAAGAAGAAGAACCCTAAACTAAAGGTAGCATTAGCTATCGGAGGATGGGGAGACAGTGCTGGAAACAAATATTCCGTCATGGTTTCGGATCCCGCGAAAAGAAAAAAGTTTATCGATCACATTGTACCATTTTTGAAACAATATGGTTTCGATGGATTAGATTTAGATTGGGAATATCCAAACTGCTGGCAAGGTGCATGTGGAAGTGCACCACAAGATGTAGACAATTTCTCTGCTTGGATTAAGGTATATCAAATTTTTTTGTTTTTAATTTTTCAGGAAGTTTTGACAATCGTTTGATTTCTATGTATCATAATTTTTAAGTTATCGCTATTTCTAAACCTTAGCTATGAATTATATATTTAAATATCTTTAAGTACACCTTCCAAGACTTGTAAAAAAATATAATTTTGGCATTATGTTTTAGTTATCGGATAGAACTCTATCGGAGTTTGAATTCAACCCGAATGTTCATAATTTTTCATGAGTAATTAGGATAGTGCATCATTCACACAGAATCATCTGAATCGAGTAAGCTCGCATAGGTGAAGACTTTCTGTATGTCCATTATGACTGGACCTGATTTGTAAACGGGTAACTCGAATACAGATGAGAGGTAGTCTTTTTTTAAAAATTTTCTGTTTTTGGATAGTATGAGTCTTTTTTCCCCACGCCCATTATGAATTCGGACGGGCCCACAATGGAAATGAGAGCTGATTGGTGAGAAGGGACACTGCATACCCGGGGCAATTGTTCACAAAAATTTCCTCAGGTTTCCGATCAGAACTTGAACCTGAATCCTCAGAGTCGCAGGCTGACATCTTTAATGCCTCAGCCATCCGATGGTCAATTTAATTCATTATAGAAACTATTCATTCTTTTATATTTTGAAAAAGGCCCACTAGTTATCAGTTTGAGAGTTGGTCACGGGCTCACCAACGGACTGGCCAGGTGGAGTTTTTCGGGTTTTCTTTACGTCACCTGAATAGAGGACACTTTCCATAGAAAGTCCTCCCGGGAGACATCTCTCCTTGGCAGATCGCCCATATGTTGCGTTGCTCATCCCACCAATATATCCTATTATGTTTAAAACAATAAACTAATGGAAAATTTAAACAACGGCATCAACTATGTCCCAGTTATATTATTCTTAAAGAATTTACTATAAGTAAACTCATAAAACAAAATAAATGGAAAATATTGAATTGTTACGCAAAAGAAATCAAAAAATTAGAAAATTTAACAACTATTGGAACAACATTAAATTTTATGGAGATTCTGTTTCTTCTAGTGCAGCGATTCCCAACCTGTGGTACGCGTACCCCTAGGGGTACGCGATAGGTTGTTTAGGGGTACAGAAAAAAGTTAGTTATTATGGCAGAAAAAATAATATATTATGTATCACAAACTAATAGTATTAAAAAATTATTAGATAAAAAATGTTCCTTGCAACAATCACAACTNGATACTTCCATTGTTATTTAACACTTTAACACTTCCATTGTTAACATTTACATTGTTACTTAACACTTCCATTGTTGACACATCCATTGTTGATACTTCCATTGTTATTTAACACTTTAACACTTCCATTGTTAACATTTACATTGTTACTTAACACTTCCATTGTTGACACATCCATTGTTGATACTTCCATTGTTATTTAACACTTTAACACTTCCATTGTTAACATTTACATTGTTACTTAACACTTCCATTGTTGACACATCCATTGTTGATACTTCCATTGTTATTTAACACTTTAACACTTCCATTGTTAACATTTACATTGTTACTTAACACTTCCATTGTTGACACATCCATTGTTGATACTTCCATTGTTATTTAACACTTTAACACTTCCATTGTTAACATTTACATTGTTACTTAACACTTCCATTGTTGACACATCCATTGTTGATACTTCCATTGTTATTTAACACTTTAACACTTCCATTGTTAACATTTACATTGTTACTTAACACTTCCATTGTTGACACATCCATTGTTGATACTTCCATTGTTATTTAACACTTTAACACTTCCATTGTTAACATTTACATTGTTACTTAACACTTCCATTGTTGACACATCCATTGTTGATACTTCCATTGTTATTTAACACTTTAACACTTCCATTGTTAACATTTACATTGTTACTTAACACTTCCATTGTTGACACATCCATTGTTGATACTTCCATTGTTATTTAACACTTTAACACTTCCATTGTTAACATTTACATTGTTACTTAACACTTCCATTGTTGACACATCCATTGTTGATACTTCCATTGTTATTTAACACTTTAACACTTCCATTGTTAACATTTACATTGTTACTTAACACTTCCATTGTTGAAGCCTTAATCCTGTCTCTCTCCCCTCCGGGGGGAATTTCGAAAAATCCCTTCTTAGTGTGCGTTCTCGTGACGTATCCTGTGTACCAAATTTCAACTTTGCTCTGCGCTGATTATTATTATCAACTCATCTCGATTATATATATAGATTACATTAAATTCATATTTAAAAGTTTATTTTTAATCTAACACATTGATCACATCTTTCGCCTTTTAAGGCACCAGTGGCAGCCAGCAATGAATCTCAGCTAATTACGTATTGTAAGATAACAGACTCTGAAACATGCAAAATATTTATATGATTATGTCAGCTCTCGCCCAATACTTGCATTCAAAGAATCGGTTCTTTTTATCTTATTTAAATATGTGTGGATGTTTGCTTTGTTTTCTTATTTTAGGATTTTTATTTAGTTACGTGTAACACTTTTTATTTCTGTGCAGTGATTTTATATTTGCCTGACTAGTGTTACCGCCCGTAATTACTAATTAAAAATTAATAGCGAAATTCAAGTTTTTATTAATTAACAAATTTTTGAAGGGGTTTTATAAATTAATTAAATCAAGTGTTTTTGCGCAGAGTGCAGAAATAAATTTATCATTGAGTGCTACTAAAACAAGATCCAAATGATACAATAAAATAAGAATTTTGGCCCACTGATATATAATAATTCCCCAATAAATATGACAGAAATTGTCATTTCAGTTTTATTTAGCATACAATTACAATGCATGTATTTTCATCTTTTAGATAGTTTCACTTCAGCATTTGACCACCCTAAAATTATCATTTTCAGAAATATTATTTATTTCATATATTAAAATTATTTTTAATAATAATTTTAATTATAGTATTAAATTATGCACCATGCATAAAAAATAAATAAATACATGTAAATTCATAATAAATGATCACGCAATTTCAAAAATACATTTGTTTAAATTTATGAATTTACAATTGTGATTGAATAATTATTATATTCTCGTTCCTCAATTTAAGTGGAATATTCGTTGCACACGGTATTTTATGGCGAAACCACGTAAATTAAATTAATATGTTAATATAAAAAACACACTCCCGTATGAAAAACCCGCTTATGTTATAAAAATATATTTATACTAGCAGATAGGCCCGGCGTTGCTTGGGCAAAAAGTAACGATAGCGAAGATTAAGATTATTACGTTATAGTCAATCTCGCCCGTTTTCAAAGAATGCAAGAATTAGGTCCCCCTGTTTCCAGACTAATTAGAGAATTTTTAACTGGGTTTAAAAATGTTCGATTTTTAACTACATCTGCGTCTGTAAATCTTGCACGTCGCTTTCTCTTAACACTTCCATTGTTGACACTTCCATTGTTAATACTTCCATTCTTAACACATCCATTGTTCTTAACACATTACTTCCATTGTTATTTAACACTTTAACACTTCCATTGTTAACATTTACATTGTTACTTAACACTTCCATTGTTGACACATCCATTGTTGATACTTCCATTGTTATTTAACACTTTAACACTTCCATTGTTAACATTTACATTGTTACTTAACACTTCCANGTGATTGATGCAATTTACCATACAAATATTTTTAATATGAATCAATACTTGTAGGAATTAAGAGCAGCTTTCAACAAAGAAAATCCTCCAATGCTCTTAACAGCTGCAGTAGTTGCTGCGAAAGATAAAATAGACCAGGCTTATGATGTTCCAGTTCTTGGACAGTAAATATGATTTTAATGATTATATTTTTGTTTTAAAAGTTTATCAGGAACTTTTCTTGATTTGAATATTTCTTTTTCATTTTTTTCATAGATATTTAGATCACATAAATGTAATGACATATGACTTCCATGGAGGTTATGACAAAAGAACAGGACATCATGCACAAATGTATCCCCGAACCGGTGATGTTAATCCAGCTTATAATGTCGTAAGTATCCATTATTGTCTACCTATATATGTTATACAGTTACCCGGTTACCCGAAAACTAGAAGCAAAAGTAATAAATTTTTCATTTATTTAAAATACTAGGAAGTGGCTATGAAACACTGGGCAAGCAAAGGAGCTCCCAAAGAAAAATTAATTTTGGGTGTGCCCTTTTATGGCAGAAGTTTTACATTATCCAATCCTTCTGCTAACGGCCTAAATGAACCTGCTACTGGAAATGGCAATGCCGGCGAATTTACAAATGAAGGAGGATTTATGGCTTTTTATGAGGTAAATAAATATAATAGGTATTATTTTGAATACGGTTTGAAATACAAATGCATCATTAAATTTTTAAAATGTTTATTTATTTATATATGTAGATCTGTGAAAGAGTAAAATCGCGTGGATGGACCAAGGTTCGAGACGACAAAGCAGGCCCGTATGCTTATCAAGGTAACCAATGGGTAGGATATGATGATGTTGAGGCTATTGCTCAGAAAGCTAAATATGCTAAAGATAATGGATATGGAGGAATTATCATCTGGGATATCAGTATGGATGATTTCAGCGCATCATGCTGTTCTGTAAAGAATCCTCTTCTGAGAGCTATTCAGTATGGGCTCACTGGGCAAGGTACATCACCTAGTGCTATGGGCTGCGAATAATACTTTTTTTCACGTACTAATATAAATCGTGAATAAAATCTAACTTTTGGAATAAAATATTTTGAAGTTATGTCTGATTTATATGTAAATATTAACATTGATAATGATATTAAACCACTTATAACTATTACCAAGCAGTTTTGAATCGTAGTTTAAAATTCAAAATTTTCTATGTATAGACTACTGGTGTAATTACGTGTATACTGGCTACACAATATTTAATTAAGCTTATTGAAAATTTATTTATTAATAATTTTTACTTACACTACTCCAAATTATCTTAAACTTTCAGTATAATTATTACTATTTACTTTATGGATGGATTATTCATTTATAAGAATCTCTATTATTATTAAAATTATTTTTAATAATAATTTTAATTATAGTATTAAATTATGCACCATGCATAAAAAATAAATAAATACATGTAAATTCATAATAAATGATCACGCAATTTCAAAAATACATTTGTTTAAATTTATGAATTTACAATTGTGATTGAATAATTATTATATTCTCGTTCCTCAATTTAAGTGGAATATTCGTTGCACACGGTATTTTATGGCGAAACCACGTAAATTAAATTAATATGTTAATATAAAAAACACACTCCCGTATGAAAAACCCGCTTATGTTATAAAAATATATTTATACTAGCAGATAGGCCCGGCGTTGCTTGGGCAAAAAGTAACGATAGCGAAGATTAAGATTATTACGTTATAGTCAATCTCGCCCGTTTTCAAAGAATGCAAGAATTAGGTCCCCCTGTTTCCAGACTAATTAGAGAATTTTTAACTGGGTTTAAAAATGTTCGATTTTTAACTACATCTGCGTCTGTAAATCTTGCACGTCGCTTTCTCTTAACACTTCCATTGTTGACACTTCCATTGTTAATACTTCCATTCTTAACACATCCATTGTTCTTAACACATTACTTCCATTGTTATTTAACACTTTAACACTTCCATTGTTAACATTTACATTGTTACTTAACACTTCCATTGTTGACACATCCATTGTTGATACTTCCATTGTTATTTAACACTTTAACACTTCCATTGTTAACATTTACATTGTTACTTAACACTTCCATTGTTGACACATCCATTGTTGATACTTCCATTGTTATTTAACACTTTAACACTTCCATTGTTAACATTTACATTGTTACTTAACACTTCCATTGTTGACACATCCATTGTTGATACTTCCATTGTTATTTAACACTTTAACACTTCCATTGTTAACATTTACATTGTTACTTAACACTTCCATTGTTGACACATCCATTGTTGATACTTCCATTGTTATTTAACACTTTAACACTTCCATTGTTAACATTTACATTGTTACTTAACACTTCCATTGTTGACACATCCATTGTTGATACTTCCATTGTTATTTAACACTTTAACACTTCCATTGTTAACATTTACATTGTTACTTAACACTTCCATTGTTGACACATCCATTGTTGATACTTCCATTGTTATTTAACACTTTAACACTTCCATTGTTAACATTTACATTGTTACTTAACACTTCCATTGTTGACACATCCATTGTTGATACTTCCATTGTTATTTAACACTTTAACACTTCCATTGTTAACATTTACATTGTTACTTAACACTTCCATTGTTGACACATCCATTGTTGATACTTCCATTGTTATTTAACACTTTAACACTTCCATTGTTAACATTTACATTGTTACTTAACACTTCCATTGTTGACACATCCATTGTTGATACTTCCATTGTTATTTAACACTTTAACACTTCCATTGTTAACATTTACATTGTTACTTAACACTTCCATTGTTGACACATCCATTGTTGATACTTCCATTGTTATTTAACACTTTAACACTTCCATTGTTAACATTTACATTGTTACTTAACACTTCCATTGTTGACACATCCATTGTTGATACTTCCATTGTTATTTAACACTTTAACACTTCCATTGTTAACATTTACATTGTTACTTAACACTTCCATTGTTGACACATCCATTGTTGATACTTCCATTGTTATTTAACACTTTAACACTTCCATTGTTAACATTTACATTGTTACTTAACACTTCCATTGTTGAAGCCTTAATCCTGTCTCTCTCCCCTCCGGGGGGAATTTCGAAAAATCCCTTCTTAGTGTGCGTTCTCGTGACGTATCCTGTGTACCAAATTTCAACTTTGCTCTGCGCTGATTATTATTATCAACTCATCTCGATTATATATATAGATTACATTAAATTCATATTTAAAAGTTTATTTTTAATCTAACACATTGATCACATCTTTCGCCTTTTAAGGCACCAGTGGCAGCCAGCAATGAATCTCAGCTAATTACGTATTGTAAGATAACAGACTCTGAAACATGCAAAATATTTATATGATTATGTCAGCTCTCGCCCAATACTTGCATTCAAAGAATCGGTTCTTTTTATCTTATTTAAATATGTGTGGATGTTTGCTTTGTTTTCTTATTTTAGGATTTTTATTTAGTTACGTGTAACACTTTTTATTTCTGTGCAGTGATTTTATATTTGCCTGACTAGTGTTACCGCCCGTAATTACTAATTAAAAATTAATAGCGAAATTCAAGTTTTTATTAATTAACAAATTTTTGAAGGGGTTTTATAAATTAATTAAATCAAGTGTTTTTGCGCAGAGTGCAGAAATAAATTTATCATTGAGTGCTACTAAAACAAGATCCAAATGATACAATAAAATAAGAATTTTGGCCCACTGATATATAATAATTCCCCAATAAATATGACAGAAATTGTCATTTCAGTTTTATTTAGCATACAATTACAATGCATGTATTTTCATCTTTTAGATAGTTTCACTTCAGCATTTGACCACCCTAAAATTATCATTTTCAGAAATATTATTTATTTCATATATTAAAATTATTTTAAAAAGTATAACTAGGAATAATTCATTTCGAAGTGAAACCCTGAAACATAATTAATAAATTCGTAAAATCGTAAATTTCGAAATTAATTTTTAGTGTGTTTTTATTTATTTTTTAAACAAATAGCAGTTATTGTGAGAATGGAAGAATTTTTTAAGAATAATTTTTCTGACAGTAAAGTATATTGACAAGACTATGTCTTGTTTATAAAATCGTACTGCCTCCTGTTCTTATCAGCATAGAGATATAAAGGAGTATATTTAGAGAGTTGATATTTGGCACAGAGTATTAGGTGCCCAAATTATTTGCGCATAAAAAAATCTAGACTCGTAGGTAGTCAGGGAACCGAGAATCGAGTCAAAATAAAATCCAAAATGGCGACCCTCTTCTACAAACAGGCAAAACAGCCACCTCACCCCACCGAAGTCAGGTAGAGGGAGAGTACCACCCCCAATCATTCTAAGAAGTGAACTCTGACCTTAGGACTGAGGGCGCCTGCGCGTGAACTTCGCCCTTTGACCTCACTGTGCTCCTAAACTCTAACGAGGAGAGACATCTTTTTACTACCTTTCGAGTCGACAGCGTGCTATCTTGGATTTATATTATATATCGACGCTATTGTAAATATCGCGTTGCCGATACAAATTAAGTAAATTATTTCCCTGGATCATTTCTCAATTAATTTTTACCGGCAGAACACATGGTCGAGGTCAACGTGGACATCACGGACAAGGAAGGATGTGCCACGTACAGATTTTAGCCACGCCACTAAAGACTTTATATATATAAAGACTTTTATATTAGGGTTGTCGTTACATCCAATAACGTTATAATCGGGTTAAACTGTATATTGTTTGTGCAAAATAAAAAAAAAAAATAATTTCGGAAGATACAATAGCCAGGATTATTTTTTTCAAAAACGGGAAATTTTCGTTACGCGTCGACAAAAATTCAACCCTGGCCGTCACGCAACGAAAAGAAATTTCGACATTGGATAGGGTATACCTGGATAAGTTCATTTCATCGAAAATGCATCGTGGACGACCTCGTGGTCGTGGCCTGCGAAGTTTGAACGATCGTGCTCAAAAGCAGCGAAGCCAAAGAAAATTGGAGAATGAGAATGAGCGTCAAAGTGATTCCGCTTAGTAGTGAGTCTCCGAGACATAGTCTTGTCCCAAATACGGCTTTGTCGTTTTACTTGTTTGTAAATTTAAAAAAATCGTTTTCCATTCTGTAGCTTTAAGAAAGCTGTTTTTCCAAATCCATTATGGTCTTTTTTTTTAAAACTATTTCCTCCCTATTGGCACTGAAAATACCTCTTTTAGCAAGCCTATTATGACCCACAATGGGGCGGCTGGGTAATGAGGGACAGACCACCACCTGAAAAATTCCTGGAGCTTTTTCGACCCGTCTGGATTCGATCCTGGATTCCCAGAACGGTAGGCTGTCACCTTGGCCGCTTGGCCATCCAGCCGTCAAAGGTTTATTGTGGGTTCGAGTAAGCCGCCAATTTAAAAGCCAGATGATGGAAAGTGGGGTCACGCGTATCCGGGCAAACCGCTCTTGAAAAATTTCTAGGGATGTTGACCGGATCCGAACTCAAACACGAGTTCCTCAAAACGGCAGCTCACTTTTTTACAAATTCGGCTATTCAACTGACTATTTATTGGATTCGAATATAAAAGAAATATAATGCGACTAAAGCTTATAAGCGTGTGATCCAGAAAAAGTTTAATGTTTATAAAGTTTCAGTGATAGTTAATTAATTTCATGATAAAAATTTGTGTAATCTATAGACAACCTTTATTGCAAGCCTATTATGAATTAGATCTTAAAAGTTAGACTCTATTATCGATTTATTTTATATGTCAGACTCAGAAAAAAATCTCTTAAAACTTGCTCATCAGTAGTCAAGTAGATAAAATCATTGAACAACTAGTAATTAGTCGTGGGTTCGCGCTTGAACAACGGTCTAGCCCAGGAGTGGCCAACAGTTTTTGCTCCCGGGCCGAATTGGAAAGAAAATTTTTTTCACGGGCCAAACCAGAGGCTGCCCTAGGAAGATTTTGAGGTGGTGCGGGATCTCATTGTGGTGTCACTCCGTACAGACTAAATTGTACACAGAAATTACAGATACATTTTTCACATTATCATGCCTTATCAATATTCTACGCTGTACTTAAGAGATTTGTAATGGAGGGTTAACTCTAAACGCACAGTGAGTTGTTGACTTGTTGACTTTTTTTTTTAGGCGTCAGAATTTTTCATCGAGCTATTCGGACTTGAGTAGCTAATATTGAAAGATTAATCGCGGGCCGCATAAATTCATTAGACGGGCCGGATCCGGCCCGCGGTTCGTATGTTAGCCATGCCTGGTCTAGATTGCTTGGAATTTTCTGCGTTTTTTCCACGTCTCTAAGCTAGTTTTCTACAGAAAGTCCTCCTGAGAGGTATCCACCTTGCCAGCTCGCCCAAGTATTATGCCACCGTATCCCGTTAATCTAATCCAAATCAAACGACCCGAAACCATACTTAAATTTTGATACCTCTAGGCTCTGCATGCTTCTTATTTTCTTCAGCAACCAACTAGGGTTTCCATACGTCCCAAGTTTTCGGGATTTGTCCGATTTAAAACGATTCGTCTCGATCAGAAAATTTTTCCGATTTATCCATTTCTACTCGAAAATATTCTGATTTGTATTAAAAACAATCAAATGTAAACAAGGACAGATTTTGGAGGTGCATTGGGCGTAGCTTACCTCTTCTGGGAATTTTTCTGAGTAAAATTTTGTAAATCATATTGTTTCCTTTCTGTACGTCCCTCTAAAGATTTGTGGATCAGCTATTGAATAAGTGGAGGCGGCATGTGTTTGCAGGTGCTGTACAGTACATAGAAGTACGGATAGGTGCGTACGGATAGGTGATATCCGTACGCACGTGTCGCTTTGGTGATCTCTGGCGCATACGTCGTGTTCTGATAGCCCTGTATACACTATGACTTCAAAATTATCAATGGTTTTGAGCAATCATCGACGATGGATTAATGTATGGTTACGTCTGGCCATAGTCTAGCGTTAATTTTATTTATTTAATATTTAATCATTTTTACTCTTTTCGCCCTGTGAACACTACCAGCATATTTATTTTTAATCATATCTATTGCGGCGGTTAGCAACGGGGCGCTTGACCATCGTCCCCAACCTATGTGAGGTCAAGAAATAGGCTAACTCATTTTTCTGGATCGACGTGCTTCTGTTCGGACTTTTCACCTCACCACGCGCCCCGAACATTCTTTCTACGGTCGACGTAATTGTAACCGTTGTATATATTTCTGTAAAAGAAACTCGTGACAACGACCGTTGGACTCCTTCGCTGTCCGGTATCATTCCTCCGGCACGAAGACGACGACAATACGCGTGAATGTAATCGGTAACCGATTTAACCGATTTCCTTCTCAAGAGGTATGGCTCAATAGCGTTCTCACTATCGTGGGTTTGGCACATCCACAACGGGAACAGCCGAGTTTTCTAACGGAAACCCGACTGAAATAAGTTAAACATTTAAGATTACTCCAACGAATAATAAAAAAAATTTCAATAATTGATAATTCAACAAAAATTAGTTTTTAATTAGAATGATTCGTTTATTTTCCAGAGAGTACTACCCTACCCACAACCCAACATTAGATACTGCTGGATATCCATCAAATTTTATCACAATGCTATTTCATTTACAATGTCTTGATTTCTAGTTTTGAACTTATGGCAACCATTGTATGAGACGGCCGGATGGCGGAGCGGTCAAGGTATCGCTATGGAGACCTGGGATCGAATCCAGACGGGTCGAAAAATCCCCAGGAAATTTTCAGGGGGTGGTCCGTCTGCATATGCCGAACCCCGTCCCTCACCACGCGGCCGCCCCATTGTGGGCCTGGACGAACCCGTAATGGACTTGCTAAAAGAGGACCTCTTAGTGCCTACAGGGGCGGAAAGAGTTTAAAAAAACCATAATTTGAAAAATTTTGTATATTACATCAAATAAATTTATGTCGGACCCCCGTCCCTCACCACCCGGTAGCCCCATTGTGGGNCCTTCATTTTGTATAGTAGTATAGTTATCAATATAATATAATTTTAAATTAAAAACATTACAAAAGATTACGATACTGATAAAGTTCTTCATGTTTATGCATTCCAGTTAAACTACAACTTTTTGCCAGCTGTTTTAAAAATGTCACTAACCTAATACTGTTTTGTAAATTCAATGTCACATGATTATTGGATTTATCTGCAATTGTACAGTACATTTATATTCAGATTTATGAAAGTTTAAGATCGGTTTATATTTCAATTTATTTGGTTCTTCAGTTTGATGTCTTTATAATACATATTTGAAATCATCCAAGAAATATTTGAAAATATAATTACATTTCATTAAAAATTATTAAATTTCAAATATTTAAATATTAAAATTCTAAATATTTGAAAATCTCTATCAATCTTGTTCCATGGATATGAACCCGTTCCGAACTAGACGTATATAATCCATCTGTCGTAATATATAAAAAGTAATTATAATTTTTAGAAAGAGTTTTATTTTAAAAGTATATTTAAAATTCATCAAATTAAACGAATTAATGTTAGTTTTTTTTAGGTTTCTATCACGTAGTTAATATAATTCGTTAGGACGTAATTGATCGACTAGTTAGTTCACTTCCTAACACAAACGACTGCCACAAACCAAAATTTGAAAAGCGGTCGACGGTTGTAAAAGGAGTTAGAACTTGTTTATGACTAAGAATTTCGCATTGTCGCCGGATTAATATAGTATAAAAATTTAAAACGACATGGATGGGGATGTCGGTTGTCTTCGAATAGGCTTAAATGTTGATATACAAAGGACAGATGGTATGTATGAATATTTTCAAATTTCTATCCCATCTTTTGATCAAATGTTTCGAATTGTCTTCTATTTATTCGTTTTATGATTCGAATACGCCAATGTATGAAATCTAACGGTGCTATACATTGGTCATTTCCAATTTAAATTCAAATTAAGCTATGTCTAGATCTGTTAATATTTTATTTTTATTTTGCATATTATAATTGCATTTTAAATTAATTTGTGTAGAAGAACAAACTGTTAAACGTGTAAGGAACGTTAAATATAGACTAAGCTGGTAAACAGTTATAAAATATCTTTCAGTTTGAAGTGTAAAATATAATAAATTTAGCATTTAAATTTAAAATTATTTGAGATTTTATAATTAAAAAGTATTTTCAAGCTGTTCAATTTTACATATGATATATTTACAAAAACTTCATAATTCAAAATTTAAGAATGATTTTAGATATAGACTTTAGTTTTAAACTGTCATTTATTGTTTAAATGTTAATATATTTCATTCAGAATATTTCTTTTATAAGAAAGTGTCTTTAGCTTTAAGCTTCTTTCCGGTAGTAAATACTTTGCGTGTTTACTTTTAATATTCGTAGTTTTTCATATATTTAAATTTTCTTATCAAAATAAATTTGAATTTTATGTAATTTGAGTCTAATATAAATATATATTCCGAAATTAGATTGAAAGCACGCTGTGATGAATGATGTTACATATGATGATAAATCAGTATTTCTTTTGACATATTTTAAACAGAACATTTTGTAAACATAACAGTTTTTTTCTATTATGGTAATGTGTGTATTCAACAATATGTTATATACAGTGTATCTAACTTCTTATATAATTTTGTATGAGTTATCGGGTATTAATTGACTACTAGTGTTGTTATTAAATGATGATTATTCCCAGAAATATTTTTTTGTTATAGGCCTATTTTAAGCATTTAATAACACAATAATTAAACTTCAAAACTTTTAAATAATTTTTATTATTATTACAAAATTATAACAAACCTAAAATGAAAACTTATAAGAATAAAATATATCAGTGGTTCCCAAATAGTTTTTCCTGCGTACCACTTCAAGAAAGAGCTCAAACTCGCGTACCCCTTACAGCAGAAATTCATATTAATCCATACTAATATCATAAATTTGAAGGTAAGTCTGTCTGTCTGTTTGTTACCTTTTCACGTCTAAACTGCTGAACAGGTTTTAATAAAATTTGGCACAGAGATAGCTTACACGTTGGAGATGGACACATTTTACTACAAGAAAATATCTTACTCCCACGAGAAAATTCGATATAATGCGGTCAAAGCTGTGGGTAGACAGCTAGTGATAAATAGAATAAATATTTTTACATTTATTACCTTTAAAATACAATTCTAATAATAATGAAAATAACATAAGGTTATTTAATTTTAATGTGACAAATGTGCACGATTTTCTTTGCACAACTTTGTAAAATCTGGTTGCTTTTTGGTCAGCTTCAGTCTTGAGTCATCTTCGAGTCAGAGTCGGTGACGATGTTTTGTTTTCATGTTTGTCATGGCCGAAAATTCGCTCTCGCAGAGGTATGTTGTGCAAAATGGTAGTAAATATTTTATTGCCTCTTTGCTGACATGATGATGATGATAATTGTACAATTAACACAAATTGTGTTAATTGTACAATTTTTGTTTCTTGGGTAAGAATTTCATTTAGGTATTGTCACAAATGCATTTTTTTGTTGAAATTTTGAGAATATTTTTAGTTATAAATAAACGAATTTGTGCATTCGACATCATATTGTAAATTGCCGAATTTTTGATGGTCCACCCATTATTTGTTTGATTGCTTCATCTCATGCATTTAAATTTTAAATCGACTGATTTTAGATTGCCACGCATACCCCCAGGGGTACGCGTAGCACTAATTGGGAACCATTGAAATATAAACTTAACAAAAAATAAACTTTTTTGATATTTAACATAATGGTAGGTTATTTGTGATATTTATTAGTAAAAAATTTATCAAATTTATGTTTTATTTTTTTAGATTTTTGATGTTATATGGTTTACTTACAGATCTTCAAATGAATGCCCTATATTTCTTATGTTTGAGCGTTATGAATGCTCTATATTTATTATATATAAGATTACTTCCAAAATTTCTTCATTTTAAAAGTATTTTACATATAATTTATGTGCAATGAAAATTAATTAGCAACTTGCTTAAAGTCTATACATAATGAAGTTTCCTTCATTTTGTATAGTAGTATAGTTATCAATATAATATAATTTTAAATTAAAAACATTACAAAAGATTACGATACTGATAAAGTTCTTCATGTTTATGCATTCCAGTTAAACTACAACTTTTTGCCAGCTGTTTTAAAAATGTCACTAACCTAATACTGTTTTGTAAATTCAATGTCACATGATTATTGGATTTATCTGCAATTGTACAGTACATTTATATTCAGATTTATGAAAGTTTAAGATCGGTTTATATTTCAATTTATTTGGTTCTTCAGTTTGATGTCTTTATAATACATATTTGAAATCATCCAAGAAATATTTGAAAATATAATTTTTAAATAAATAAATTGAAACTGCAATTTGTGTATATATATGCTTATTTATATATTTTACTTTTTATTTAAATATTAATTTTTTATTTGTATTTTGTTTTGTCAATTAAAGAAAATTAAAATCAATTCTTAGACAATATAGTTCAACATTTAATTGGCATCTTAATAGTCATCTAAATTAAACTATAATTTAGGATTTTTTCACTATATTAATATATAATTCAAATAAACAGGAATGACAAGTTTTGACAATTTAGTAATCAGTAGTGTGTGGCTATGATGATTCAAATATTTCATTTATAAAAATGTTTGTCTTTACTATTTTTATAAAATATAGTAGATAAAAATAATTATTCGAATTATCTTAAAGAAATTTAAGAAATAATTATTAAAGCTGAAACAATGATGATTCAGAATTGAAAAATAAGTTATTTATTTATTTATTAAACTTTACTTAATTACAGTGGAGAAAGTATTAAAGTTTGTCATACATGACATATGTTTATTCTATGAGTAATTTACATGCTAGATATTCTAAATCAATATTTATTAAATTCTTGTTTTAAAATGGAAGAAAAATCAATTTTGTAGTACTGTATATTGATCCTTTTGAAATTTCATAAATTTAACATATGATGTGAAGGTTATAGAAATTCAATAATTGATATTAAACAGATAACAGTAATTTAAATGAAAAATAGTAAAAAAAAAAAAATGAATTCAAGATAACATTGTTATAAAAATATAGTTTTAAACTATTTCAGTTCAAATTTCTTGATGAATATTTTGAAATGTAATTGATTATGCTAAAATTCAATTAAATTTTTTTGTTCTGTTATCTTTGCAACATTTCTTATAAATACATCTCTAAGTACATCTTATAAATAGTTTCTCTAAGTAAAATTTAAATTATTTGATTTTGTTATTTTTAATTTATTACATTATGACGATTAAAGGTTTAAATTGTAAAATGTAGATAACAAAATTAATTAAAAGTACTGTTTTTACTTTCCTGATGCATTAAATATTTTAAAGTATTTCAGCACTGTTTGAAAGTGCAAATTATTTTAAAATGTTTCATGGTAATTAGAAATTTGAATGAAATTTGTAAATGTTACATATATTGTACAATTCAATTAAAATTTAAAAATAAAAGATGGACCATAATGAACACAAATATTTAAGAAATGTTATATTTAAACCTCCAAATAAAATAATTATAGCATTCTTCTGGAAAAAAATTCTTAACTTTATATTATTGCTATAAAAATGTGTACATCAAAAGATTAAATTTAAAAAAAAATTATTGATATATTTAGGACTAGATTCGACAAAACAAATTAGTCTTTCTATAATACTCAATCTTGTATAAAATATCTTGAAAAAATATTAAAATGATTATCTGAAGTTAAGCAAAAATTTGCTACTTTTTAAAACTATTGTAATTTATAGAATATTTTAATAATTGTTAAAGGTTTGTTGCTTTATAAGATAGTACTGTCAGTTTCTTGTAAAAGCTGTCATACTTTTTTGCTGACTCAATACTCTTGCAGGTACTAAAAATAATCTTATCACTATATCAAGACAGTTTGTTCACTTTTAGATTTAGTCTCCTATATTTATATTTTATCTTAATTTTATAACTTGTTTCCTCTAGTAATTGTTAATTTCAAAATTTAAAGTATTGACTTTATTTAAATTTCATTTAAACTTAATATTGAGTTTAATATTAATAAATAATGGTTTACAGTTGAGGAATTTTTTCTAAGGAGTTCCAATTGATGATGATTCCATTTACTCCTTATCTGTTTTTAAACTATTTTATAATTAATTAATTATATATATATATATTTTGCAAACAAAAATTACTGAAATCAATTTAAATTTATAAAATATAATTCATTGAAAATAATTCTTCTGAGTATCACATAATTTGTCAGTTAATTAATAACTTTTCTTACTTAATTCTTTTATGTGAACTTTACAATTTTTCAGTAATTAGTTTGTTGTAATAAATCAGTGTTTCTCAACAGGGGCGATATCGCTCCCATGTGGGCGTTTTTCCATGTTGAGGGGGCGATTAGTAACAATTTATATTTTGGGAGGCAAAAAAATTTTTCTGGGCAATATAGTAAAACATTTTAAGAATAATTATGTAACGGTTTTATTGAAGGGGGCGATGATTCGTTAGAGGTTGAGAAACACTTTAATAGATGAACTTTATTTTTCACAAGTTATTCATAAATAATATAACAATAACTTTCAATTGCTGTTAGAATAATACAAATTTCAAAGCTTGGCATGGTGGATGAGGCAGTTAAGGCATTCACCCACCACTCTGGGACCCAGGATCAAATCTGGACAAGTAACTTCTAGGAGTATTTCATGGTTAATCTGTCCTGGATATGTCAGTCTTTGCCCTCGTCATTTGTCT